CTGTTGATAATATTGCTATATTGTGACATGCAGGGGGGAAGGAAAGAAATGTCATTAAAATACACCCCTTTTTCAATTAGAATGCATCCAAGAGCAGGTCTCATTAATATTCCCACCACACCACCCGGCCTCCAATGAAAATGTGAAATGGCTCCTCTCTAATCCTCTCCCGTGCAGCCTGCTACCCTCTCGCATCTTCATTTCTTTTGAAGAAATAGAAAGAGGGCTGAGGGATGCCCAGCTGTCTCTGTGTCGATCTCAGACTTGGTGACTGGAATGTGAATGCACAACCACTGCGGATAGTGACGTCACACACACATAAGCACCTCTCTCTCACACACCCACAACACCTGGAGATACAGAGCACACAAACACAGCCACCAGCCAGATGATAGAGAAACATGAAGCGGGAGGCGGGGAGGGAAACCCACATATACATCAGAGACGTATCAGCCTGACTGGAGAGAGACCAAGCTGTTTATATGCAGCAGACAGACAAAACACGCACACACACAATGATGTATGAATTAACTTTAAGCCTCAGGCCATTGCCCACACCACTGAAGCACCCCACTAATGTCGCCCATATTTACATAATGAGGATGGCACCTACTGTAATCAGGATCTACTCCAAGTAATACTGTAGGCTTAATAAAACTGCTTTGCAATTTCATTAGGCTTCGCAAGCTGGAATATAAATTGGATTGCCAACCATCAAACACCCAGACCATGCCAGACAACCGTATATCTCTTGCAAGCAACAGCTGTATGCAAAGGGCACACACAGAAAAACTGCTAAAACCAATTCTTTTGGAAATAAGACCCAGTGTCCAAGAGGGTACGTGACTTCATGGGATTAAAGCTGCAGCCACTCAATGGACTGTGTATTTGCTGGTTTAAATACAGACCATCATGTCCCCATTCACACCCATGCACCACACATATCCAGTCATACATCTCCAGCTCTCTGAATCTATAAAAATCTGGATGGTGTCCATATTAAGGTTACCAGATTTTTTTTCAATGAATCCGGGGACACTTTTCAACTTCCTATTAAATAGATGGATTTTGTCAGGGGACTGATTTGTAAATCCGGGGACTGTCCCCGGGAAACGGGGACGTCTGGTAACCTTAGTCCATATAGAATCTGGAAGTTCAGTGGGGAAGAGTCCGGGCAAAATCTTGGGCAGGAGTAAGCCAATGTGGTGCCCCCACCCATGTTTCTGGACCACAACTCCCATAATTCCAGAACGCCAGCCATGCTGGCTAGTGCTGATGGAAATTGTAGTCTCTACATCATTTGGGTGGAAACATGAGTTATGGCTAGAACCTGGCTGAATCTGAAGTTTACTGATTTTTCATGGTTACTTGGAAAGAACACACTGGTTAGTTGAGAGAACATGTTCTACTGGTTGGCACAGTGAATAAATGCTGGTTGAAAACATGGTGCCAGCTCTTTCGTCCCTCAGATCTCTCCTCAAAACACATTTTCCATGAAGCCTTAAAAACAAGGTCCTGCCTTCAGGTGAAAAGAAGTCTAAGTATCTATCGTTGCATTTGCTCCATGTACAGACCACAGTCAACATTTAGCTTGTAACAAGTTTGTTTTCTCCTGCTCTGGAGGGTAGGACTCGAACCAATGGCTTCTAGTTTCAAGAGAGGAGATTCCAACTAAACACCAGGAAGAACCTTCTGACAGTAAGAGCTGTTTGACAGTGGAACGGTCTCCCTCGAGAGGTTGTGGACTCTCCTTCCTTGGAGATTTTTAAGCAGAGGTTGGATGGCCATCTGTCATGGATGCTTTATGTGAGAAAATTCTGCACTGCAGGGGGTTGGACTAGATGACCTTCGGGGTCCCTTCCAGCTCTACAATTCTATGATTCTATGAACCTCCCAGAGGCAGGGACCCTTCCTGCCACTTGGGGTTAATATATATATCAATATATAAAATTAAACATAAACACATGGGTAGACAGAACATACAGAACTCACATCACCTGCAACACATTTATTTGTAATATTTTATGATACTTGCAAACCATTTAGAAATGTTAAGTGGTCTATATATTGTCTAAACACCATGCACCGAGGACTGCCACATAAAAACACGCACAGGTGGCATCTATCAACCTGATCATCTGGGAAGGCAGGATGACACACAAATAAACTCCCACACCTCTGCAAGATGCTTCAAACAAACTATATTTTGCTGAGGAATGCTAAGGCAGGAATGTTAGGCATCAGCTGTTAAATTCAGTACCTTGGCTGCTTCCAGACAACCTGCTTCTTTAGCATTCATTCCGATTTCTTCGCAGGGAAGTTAGATAACATCGGCTATTTAATGAGCATTCGTCCCGATTTGTTTGTGTGGAGGTTAGATGACATTGTGTCAAATCCAGTGTCATCCCACATTTTCCAGTGCATTTTCCTTATTGGGGGGGGGGGAGTCTGCTCTTTGGGGGGGGGAGCAGGTTTGCCATACAAGACGCCCCAATCAAGTATAATTGCACAGCCTGAATTTGCAAGTAGTATGTGATTGAATCCCACCTGGAAATAGTGAACGCCTGGAAGCGCCCCTTGTTATTTTTGCTGAAGTGTTTAAAATGTTACTGTACTGGGAAAAAATAATACAAATGAGAATGTGGTCAAATTACAGTACTTATTTTAGAACATTTATTTTCTCTCACATTGTAAAAGGGAAACGGAATAGAGCTCTTTAAGATAAGGGCAAAAACTGGGCATTGGCCTAGACATTCCTACTTGGCCAGCCCTACCATTAGGCAGAGTGAAGCAGCCACCTCAGACCTTGGATGCTGGGAGGGTGGAGCAGCAGCAGGCCCACTTCCCAGCCCAGCAATGCCCATCCACCTTAAGCCATCCTTTCCAGGAACCAGGGCATAGGAAAACCTGAAGCAGCTGAATTTCTTCCAGACACAAAGCTGTTGTTAAAAGTGCAGGAGCCTTGCTAGTCTGAGGCTGGGGTGCAGGGAAGGTTGCAAGCAGTAGTTTTCATTAGTTGAGCATTGCTCTGTCCTGCAGCTCCCTCTAGTGACCATTGTCTTTAGCTACATTTGGGGGGAAATGAATGGTCCACTGACAATGTCAAAGAGCACACTGTTCTTCAGAGTCCTCGGGGAATGAGGTGCAGAGTGCCTAGAAATTGACTTCCCTGCAAGAAAGGAAAGGCCATACCTAGTGTCACTAGAAACATCAGAAACAAAAGATCTACCTGGATCTATCCTTTCGGGCTTCCCCCAGTCCTGGGATGTGCCCATACCAGGGTGTTAATGCGTATGTGTTTCACGGTTTCCATCTGAACAATTAAGCAATTATTCTAGCCTTCAGCCTTCCTCTCTCTCCCAACAATTTTATTTGTTGTAAGCAAGACTGATATTTGGCTAACAGCAAATAAACGGTAGCCACCCTTACTCTTTTTGGAGTAAATATACAAGGGGGACTGTTCCAATCAAGGAGATTTGGGAGACAGGCTTGTGGCAGGGGAGGGGGATGGAGGCGTAGGACAGAAAAGTGAGCCTCTGGTTATTCTCTTAAATAGCTCGCACTTTAAATAGGAGCCTCCTACACCAACTCCATCAGTGGAATCCATATTGCAAAAGAATCCCAGATTTGTAGATCTGTGAGTGCATGTGATTAATGTTTACAAGGGCATGCGTAAACCAAGTTCCCTAACAAAGCAATCCGAACCCAAGATCCAACAGAACGAGATTTGGCAGGTGTTGGTCTTTCCTCACTGAGACTGGGCACAACTGGGGCTATGCTGGCATAAGTCCCTAAGCTTAGCTCAGCTCGAGATATACCAGCTTAACTCCCTAAACTGGGACACAGCTGGCAGAACTTAAAACTGGTGTAACTTACATCAGCATGTCCCCAAAAAGGAGTGTTCCAGGGGCGGGGCAAGGATTTGCACCTATTCCAAACACCTTTCAACTCTAGCAACCCAGCAAAATCTAGCCAGAGAAAGGATGGTGTAAGAAAAATTCATCCTGAATGGAGTTTGGAATTCAGGCGCATAATTTATAGTTTTCTTTATTTAGGATTGCTCTGTTAAGCCGGGACAAGGCTGTGATCCTACCTGTATTCACTGGGGATGGGAGCAAGTTCCTCTAAGCTTATGAGGATTTACTACCCAGAGTGTGATGCTGTGTACCCCTGGGTAGTCTGCACCCAACTCCACTTTAACTGTGGTGTGAATCATAGCCTGATCTTTTCTCCCAGATGTGGCAGGGAAGATCCCAATTCTCTCTGCTTGACCAACATTTGAAGCTCTGTTCAGGTGGAGATCAGCTAATTCACATGGTGTTGAATCAATTTAGACTACATTCCTGGACAAGATCCGGACATGGAAACTTTGTAGGAATTTTGTAGAACTCTCTGGAGGATTCATCTGGGCAAAAGTGGCTAAAACCCAGGCTGCTGACGGGCAGTCACTATTTGGGGCTGAGAGTCAATCACATTTCAGCAAATTCGGGCTGTGTTTCTAAAGAAGATTTGGCACCCTGATGCAACAAATGTGCTTCTCACCAGCACCAGCAAATTGGACCTTTTGTTGCTTCCTGATGACCTGTTCACTGAATATTCACCCTGATTTATTTGCACAGAGTTTGCAGGGCGTTAGATGCCATTTGCTATTTATAATGTGAAGAGGTCCTGCTGCTCACCTGGCCTCAGATTGGCTGAGTTGCTGCTGCTTGCCAGGAGGTAGAAGGGGAGGAGCAAAGTAGGCTCAGTGCAAATGCATCAGCAGAACCAATCTCATGCTCCTGCTGCCGCGTTTGCACCACACCATGCTCCCCGCTGCCTCTCCCCTGCACCTTCCAGCAAACAGGGATCAGGTGAAGGGTGCCACCCCACCGTCCGCTTCCCTTCTTACTCCCTGGTCATGATGCTTAGTGAATGCAGCCCAAGTCCCTTTCATCCAGTATGACAACGCAACGTCTCGCCAACCAACACAGAGACAGAAAGGCAAGGCACACTGCGGGTTGGATAAATATCTTTTATATTGAAATGCATAGGTGAGTCCATTAATCTATGGTACTGGCTACAGGGAACCACAAGCCGAAGGGAAGGAGGTGTGCGTGGATTATTCCCAAGCTGCGGGGGTGGAAGGGATGTCAGCAAAGAGAAAAAAGACCGAGGCTGGAAACTGGCGGAAGACTGATGTGCTGGAAGGATCAGGCAAACCAAAGGGGAAAGAGCTCTGGAAATGACTCAGGAGAACAATTCCGGTCCTATTAGCAATCTTACTCATCTTTCATGAGCGCAGCAGTTCTGGATCCCAACATCTTCTGGTCTAACGACAGGCTATCTCTTCCTTAGGTAGGTACAAGGTACTTGTGGTCTAGCTCCCATGCTCGCTCTTAACCCCATGCCCTTGCTGAGTTAGGGAGGGGCTAAAGAGGGCTACCCACTTAACGCCCATTTGCCCAAGCTTATAGCCTGCTGGGTGCTTGATAAAAACCCTCTGCCAGAGAAGGAGGAATGAGGTCCGCATAGAATGGGCAGGCATGAGGTGACAGAGGCCGAATCTAGCTTCCTCCAATTTCAAAGTGAGTGGAGACAGGTAAAGAGGGACTGTTGGCCCAGATGCACCAGAATCTGCAGCCTGATGCATGAAGGGAAGAGAATGGCCTTGAAATTTTTCGCTTGGCTCATCTACATGACCTGCCAGCAGAATATAATTATTTCTCCGCCCATCAATCAGTCGCTGACTAAGACCAGTTTTTGTAACTTTTGGCACAGCAGAGACACCCCAGGATCATCTTACACGCACCCATTTAACACGGCGAACACTCGCTCTTATGGAAATCGCCAGCACTGGGCAAATCAGGACAAAGACCAGTTCTCGGTGGGCTTCCCTCATGAGGTAAAAACAAATACCAGTCTTTTGCCACATAATGAAAAATATTCACAACACAAGCTTGACAGGGTGTCTTTCCCACATCAAAAAGCAACAGGGTATTCATGATAAATGAAATGATCTGTTAAGAGGAGTCCCAGAGAATTGGGAGGGGTGCGGGGGGGGGGGGAGAGAAGGCGCCATCTTCAGTTTACCACACACCTCGAGTTTTAAAGCTGGAAAGAGGCTGCCAGGTGATAACTTGGGAGAGCAGATGCAGAGGGTTGGCGGTGTCCACTGAGCAGGATGGAAACGTGGAAGATAGGTATAAATAAATAAATATACTATAATGTTCATGTAATATAGTCCATGCACCAGAGAAAGAGAGAGAGAAAAGAAGGAAAGAAAAGTCGCATTTGGACATGCTGTGTGTTACTATAAAGGAGGGCGATATTTTCTCCTCGGAGTCTAGCATGCCACCTCTGTTGCTGTCATCGCTTCCTTTCCAAAGTCTGGTTTTCAACAGCTGAGTGGGTGATGCAAGCAGCCATGTTGAAGGAAGCAAGGCAAAGGTGTCAGTGCTGGGGGCCGGGGGCAATGGGGGACGGAGCCATCGGGGCTCAACAAGGGCAGGACTGGGTCACAAAGAGTGAGGTGGGTGGGTGGGTAGGGGTGTAGAGGAAGGGCTAGTTTGGGATTCTACACTCTTTTTGTACAGGCAGGCATCCTAGCTATGCGTGAAATCAAAGGGCTCCAACTAAGTTGGGTAAGATCTATCGAGTTCAAGGTTACATCGTCACACTGTAGCAGGTAAGGAAAGCACCACGGAGACGAAATTTAGGACTAGGATCTGGGAACAGGGCAAGGGATGAAGACTGGAAGGGTTTTCGGAAATTATCTGAGCAGTCAATCGGCAGGGGAGGCAGGGAGAGAGAGGGAAGGAAGGTGTTGCTTCCTGACATTTCTCCAAATTTAAAAATTACTTCCAGGGCAAACAGATACTCAGGATCATTTAACGTAGATTAGGCATCCCTTCATATTTTAAGCCTGTATGAAGGGAAGCTGCCATATACTGAGTCAGACCACTGGGCCAATCTAGCGTTGTCCGGTCTGCACTGATTGGTGGTGGCTCTCCTTAGGGGTTTCAGACGGGGAACATTTCCCAGCCCTAGAGAAGCTAGAAATTGAACCCATGGCCTTCGCTCTACCACTCAGCCATGTCCCTGTGAAGGAAAGCTCATGATCATGACAGACAGCAGTGAAAGGGTGGGCTCTCCTCCCCCACCCCCCACCCCACCTTAGTGCAGAGCAACACATGGAATAATAATTCACAGGCTGCTATTTTGGTCAGTGATCACATGCTCACCTTATGGTTGCTTCTTCAATTCCAGAGTATAATTATGCCCACTGCATTCCCCTTATCCATTAGAGAAACCAAACTCATCAAAGAAAAATTTGCAAGGGCCAAATAAATAAACAATCGCGTGGCCTTTTGTAAGGGATGGAAAAATACATGTGGAGCTAAGGAGTTCCACGACTGCTTCCTGTTTGGACCTCTGTTTTTGCAACACACCTTCATTTCACTGCCCATTTGCCAGAACTTTGCAGTCATGTGGCCAGCCTGGATTTAGGGCAGAGGGCATGTCTTCTGGGCGGATTCCAGCCACAATTTCTATCATTTTGTCACAAAGTGTGTGCAGTCCTGTCTGTTGCCCCCACGCCTGCTTAGGCCATCCCATGTTTTGGCCAATTTAGAGGAATTTCTGATGGTGTGAAAGCTATTCACCGCTCTGATTATAGGGGGGAAACCTTGTAAAAGCAGTACTGAAAGGGCCATTTTTACAGAAACGCCTGGCACAGTTTTCTCTCTTTGTGCCAACGCAAACTCCGTTTAATTGGGGGATGCTCAAAAAAGATTAGCCTTGACCTAGGGAATATTCCTATTTTATTGGTGGAGTTTAAAAATCCCTCTATAGATATACGTGTGCTTTCTTAACCTCACTGATCTGGGTTTCACCTAGTGGAGGTAAGGAAGGAGGGAAGCAACTCACTGGAGACAATTAACAACACAAAAAGTGTTTTCTAGGGGAGGCAGGGGTCATAAGGTCAAGCGTAGGGTTTATAGGGCTGAGCTCTGAGCAGGAGTCATGCTCCCGGGAGCAGAATTCTAAGGGCTTGAATTGGGGTTCTTAGGGTCAAGGGTCATCCGGGAGACCATCTCACACCAGGGAGGTTGGGGAAGGGATCATCCCAGTCGGAGAGAGGGGCATGCTGGTCGGAGAGAGAGGCAGGGCTGTTGGGGAGAGGCTCCCCTGCCGCAACGTGGACGGGTGCACAAACTCAGGGTTGATGTAGGTGAACCCCTGGAACTCGCACTGATCAATGCTTGCGAGGACCAGCTGGTCTGGGGGTGTCAGCGCTGGAGGTGCCCGTGTGAAAAACTTGTCGAAGTTTTCGCCGCTTCGGCCGCACTGGATGGGGGGACGGGGCAGAGAGAAAGAAAAGGGGAAGAGGAGGGATGAAGGGAACGAGGGAAATGGAAAGAGAAAGGGAATAAGAATTATCTCTGTTGGTTTCTTTAACACAACCCCTCCCTCTCCATTTTTTAATCTTTCTTGAACTTGCTACGTCTTGAAAGGCGTTCCTTCATAACGTTTCCAGAATTAAAAACCAAACAAAACATCTGAATTTTTAACCTTAAAAAATCCCCACCGCTCTGTTAGCCTTCTGAGTTTTGTTTGACATTTCTTTCCATCTCAGGGAGACGGGGGAATGGAAAGGAGTTTGAAATGGATCTACGGGTATGACTAACATTGGATACAGCCCTGAATCTTGATCACCGTTTTATTTCTTCCTGGTGCATGTCATTATATTGTGTTGTGTGAAGGTCTCTGCATGCTGCAGCTCATATATCTAGAGCTGGTTTCTGTGGGTGTTTACAGATATTAATAGATATGAAACGCAGTATTGTGTAGTAGTTTAAGAGTGTTGGAATAAGTCTGGGAAAACTCGGGTTTGAATCCTCATTTTGCCATGAAGGTGACCTCAGCCAGTCTCACACTCTCAGGCTGACCTACCTCATAACGTTGCCGTGAGGATAAAATGGGAGGGGGCACAATGTACACTGCCTTGACTCCTTGGAGGAAGGCATACAGAAAGTAAAAATACTAATAAATTGATCTATGCACGTTGCAATGAATGTGTGAAGAGGTTCAGATTTGTAGATATGCAAAGTTCTGCCTGAGTAATGTACAGCGATGCATGTATTCTTAATGGAGGTACGTGACACTGTGCTTGAGCCACAGGTCCGTAGGACAACCTGAGTGTGCCCATCCACATGCACAAATACAGGTGTGTGCCTATTCACACCTGGTGGCAGGAGTCTGCACAGCTGGATGTGGCCGAGCTCATTTGGGGACCCAAAGCTACTCACTGGGCGGGGGATGAACGGCGGGGGGATTTCCAGCTGCTCCAGCCTCTCCCAGTCCATCCAGCGGAAAAAGCCGTGCTCCCGGATATCCCGTTCCCCTTCTGGTCCTGAACCCAGGCGCTTCAGTGGATGCTTGGTCAAGAACTGGGGAAAGAGAAAGAGATTTGCTAGGAACACCCTCCTCTTCTAAGGGGTGCGGACCACAGTTCAAGACTGCCTATTACAGAATGGAAATTGGACATTGTCTCAAGAAATGCATGTATCCCAATCTGCATGTACCAAGACAGGGAAGCGAGGTGAGAGCAGTGCCGGATTTACGTTCAATGGTACCTCTGGTTGCGAACGGGATCCGTTCCAGAGGTCCGGCCGCATCCTGAGGAATTCGCAAGTGGATTAGCACTTCTGCGCATGCGCACGCGGCGAAACCCCCAAAAATACTTCCAGGTTTGCCATGTTCGCATCCTGAAGTTTACGTATCCAGAGGGATATACTAATAAACTGATCTATGTATGTATCCAGAGGGATACGTAAGCGGAGGTACAACTGTATAAGCTAAACAAGCTATAGCTTAGGGCCCCACTCTCTTGGGGGTTCCCCAAAAAATGAAAGGGGAAAAAACTGGATGTACATTTCCAAAATATAAGATTACTGTGATATCAATTACTTTGATATATAACAATTACTTTGATAAAATACATATTTTGTTATGTGCAAATGGCTTTAGATACCTATTAGGTCCATAAATTACCATATAGCATATATTCAACACAAAAAATAGCGGCAATTCGTTGTTGACAAAGGACAGCTGGACATATAAAGGGCCCCATTACCTTCAATAGCTTAGGGCATCATCAAACCTAAATCCAGCCCTGGGTGAGGGGGAGAAGCGTTTAACCCTTTACAACCCTGCCGATTCTCCCCTGCGGATCCCTGCTCCCCCATTATTGCTGTCCATTAAAAATGTCCAGGGGCAGAACAATCAGCTTGTGAATTCAGAGTTAAGCACCCCCCACCTTTCAGCCAATTCTTCCCTGAAAGTCCTTCTATTCCCAATGAGAGTCACCCACCCACTGTTTCACTCACAACCACCTGGTTTCAACCTTCAGGGCAGCCAAAAGGAAATGTGGCGCGAAGCCTTTCTCCTCCTTGATGTGCCAGGACTCACCCCTTTGCAGATGGAGACAGCCTCACGTGAAAGAGATTTGGGATAGGACACCGTGTGCTCCATGATCGACTGGAAGAGTTCATCCTCGTCCTCTCCATCAAATGGTGGCTGTGGACCAGGAGCACAGGTAAAGCTAGTGTGAGAACTATGGCAGGTGGAATATCTAGACTAAGGAATTAATGCCTTGAGGTCTCTTGGCAACAGCCACAAACCATCCCCTGAAAGCACAAATGTATCCCTTGACCTGGACTGGATCATGAAAAAAACCCACCTCAACATACTTACCTGCCCAGCTAACATTTCATACAGAAGGACACCAAATGACCACCAGTCCACTGACTTCCCATATGGCTGATAGGCAATAATCTAAGATGGGTAGAAATGGGAGGTTAGGACCTTTAAATCTACAGACCTTTTTCATTCCATTTTTTTTACCCAAACAGGTCCAACAAAAATAAACTCTAAAACCATAAGCAACATAGTAAATAACAACCAATAACAGAAATCCAAACCATATAAACCAAGTAGTTCCAATAGAAGCAACAAACACGATTCAATTGGTCCCAAATGTCCTTAGAAATTAAGTTGCCTTTGCCCAATGTCTGAAAAACTAGTAGAGAATTAGGAAAGCGAGCCTCTCTGGGGAGTAACCTCGTCTATAAGTCACCAAGGCATGAATTGGAGAGCTAAGATCTAAGATTCCTGGCAACGGGGTGAATTGGGATAGCAGATTCATTCATTCAACAACCTGCTTCGTCCCGAATGCTCTGAGGGTCAAACAGACTATTAAAGGGACACAGCGAATTAAGGCAGGGGAGGAGGTCAACTATTCCACTCACAACCCCAGACATTTAACTGTAAAATTAGACCCCAGGCACAGGGGTCTGTCACATACAGTTGTTTTGGATCCGAGCATAAGAGGTAGGAATTCGAAACCAGGGCTCTGGAGTAGAAGGCAACAAGTCTAACCTATTAGGTTAAATTCCTGGGGAGAGTTTAGATAAGAGCAGAAGGAACCTGATGTTTCTTTGGAAGGGTGGTGAGTTGTGTGATTGGGGATGGGAGACTTGGGAGCATTCTGTACCTCTGGAGCGATGTAGTCCGGTGTTCCACAAAAGGTCCGTGTGGTGATGCCAGGAAAAATGTTTTCTTTACACATCCCAAAATCAGTAATCTTAATGTGACCATCAGCATCCAACATTACATTGTCCAGTTTCAGATCCCTGGGCAGGAGAGACAAAGCAAGCAATAGGAGTGCCCAGCAGAGGGTGCCAAATTACAGCTAGGAATTACATCCTCCAAGTTAGGAAGGGATGGGAAGATTCATCAATTTCAGCTTCTCCCAGTTTCTCACATTTCCAAATTGAAATTCAGTCTTCCACATCAATTTGTGATTTTTTGTCTTGTGAAAATTCACCAGCAGTCTAGTATGGTTTTTTTTTCTTGATGTGCACATTTCTGCAAAGCAATTTCCCCTAATATAATGCATTTTTGTAAGTTATTTTCATGTGTACATCTGCATCTTTGTGCATACTTTATCTTAGGATATGCATCTTTGTGCACATTACTTGGCTGGAGAACAATAGGAAAAGCCTGCATTTCAACCACTGGCTATGTTTCAGTTCGTGCAGTGTTATGGAAAGTGCAAATAAGGCTTGTTCACCTTTAAATGCAAACTGAATTCCTCCCCCATTCCTAGTTCCAAGAGGACAATCCAGAATGAAAGATGATTTGCCTATTAGAATATCTCTTTTTTAAAAAAAAAAATATTTTTTCCCCTGTTTTATGATTTCAAATAAACATTTTACATACTTTAGAATATCCAGTGACTTCCCTTCTTCTCCTTCCACGGTTCATTTTGCATATCTTACATCCCTGCATTTTTTACAATAACTATTCAAATTGGTTTTCCACTGTTACATCCATCAAAACTTATTTACTCTCTTGAATTTATCGTAATGCTGCCAGCATTTTTTGCCTATTAGAATCTTGATAGTGGAAGGAAGGAAGGAAGGAAGGAAGGAAGGAAGGAAGGAAGGAAGGAAGGAAGGAGGCAGTCCTGTAGAGATTTGGAGAGGGGGCAGGGGGGAAGAAGAGATGGAGCCAGAACCCCTGGATTCTCAGGGGGGAAAGTGGGGTTTTGCAGTCAAGTCTGGGACCTATATAGAGAACAGAATAGACTCACCTGTAAATAATTCCTTTGTTATGCAAAAAGAACAGGCCAATTGCAATTTCTGCAGCATAAAACCTGTAACAGAGAAGAAAAGGGTGGGGGGGAGAGGGAGGAAGGGAGAGAGATAACATGGCAAGGATTTCATTAGCAGCGGCACTGAAGTCATCATGGTGGCTCTGATAGCCACTTTTCACATGATGTTTGAAAAATACAAGCAGGCAGACTCACTAGCCATGGCATTCCAGTACCATACAGCTCCTCCACACAGTACTTACCACCTCCCCCACTCTCCACCTTTGGAATAACATTCATATCAGAAAGGTAATATGTTAATTTGTGCATGATCACAAGAGAGCTTTTTATTCTGCGTACAAGTGGCTGGAAGTTACTGTGTGTAGACCTGCTTCCCGCTGCATCAAGTTAGGATTAAAGCATATTCCACATACAGGTATCAACCTTTACATGTTACCAGGGACGTGGGTTGGCAGGCACACAGGTTAGTTTTCATTCTTGTGAATTTAAAGGTTTTCTGTTATCTATATGGCACCAGCAACATGCACGGTGCTGTACAGAGCAGTAAGAAGGCAGGTCCCCGGGCCAAGGAACTTACAATCTGTAATCAGACCCAGTGGAGGCAATAGAGGGGCAATGCAGGCAAGGATAAATAGGAAGAACAATGTATGTATGTATGTATGTATGTATGTATGTATGTATGTATGTGGGGAGACAGTGCAGAGTGTGGTGGTTGGAGCAAATATGGGGAACCTCCAGTCCACAAACCTAATTAGGTCCGGCAGTGACCCTAATTTTACCAGAGAGGCCATTTTCTCCAGCTGCATACACCAGCCCTACACCTACGTTGGCTTCATTTTAGAAGGAGATAGGAACACAGGAAGCTGCCTTCTATCATCTCAAATCAACGGTCCGCCTAGCGCGGTGCTGTCCCCCTAGCAGTGGCTCTCCATCGTTTAAGGCAGGAGTCCTTTAACATGGGACCTTCTGCATGCAAGGCAGAGCTAAGATAAGGTTAGAGGTATGAAGTGGTCCCAGAAATGCATACAGGAGAATGGCCACTCCACACCCCAACACGGAGGGCTGCTACACACATCATACATCTTAAGCACATGACTTCCCTCAAAGGATCATGGGAACTATTGTTTGTTAAGGGTGCTGGCAATTGTAACTCTCTAAGGGGACGCAGGTGGCGCTGTGGGTAAAAGCCTCAGCGCCTAGGGCTTGCCGATGGAAAGGTTGGCGGTTCGAATCCCTGCGGCGGGGTGCGCTCCCGCTGCTCAGTCCCAGCGCCTGCCAACCTAGCAGTTTGAAAGCACCCCCGGGTGCAAGTAGATAAATAGGGACCGCTTACTGGCGGGAAGGTAAACGGCGTTTCCGTGTGCGGCTCTGGCTCACCAGATGCAGCTTTGTCACGCTGGCCACGTGACCCGGAAGTGTCTCCGGACAGCGCTGGCCCCCGGCCTCTTGAGTGAGATGGGCGCACAACCCCAGAGTCTGTCAAGACTGGCCCGTAAGGGCAGGGGTACCTTTACCTAAGGGGGTAAACTACAACGTAGTGGTACCTCAGGTTACAGACGCTTCAGGTTACATACACTTCAAGTTACAGACTCCGCTAACCCAGAAATAGTACCTCGGGTTAAGAACTTTGCTTCAGGATGAGAACAGAAATCGTGCAGCGGCGGTGCAGCAGCAGCAGGAGGCCCCATTAGCTAAAGTGGTGCTTCAGGTTAAGAACGGACCTCCGGAACGAATTAAGTACGTAACCAGAGGTACCACTGTACTTTAAATGAATGGTGTGCAGGCAGCCTAAGACTCCGGCTTTTCAGACAAAAGGGATCCTATCTACAGCATAGCTGCCTGCCTTGTCATTCTCACATTCCAACTGAATGTCATTTTAAGACAGGGGAGTCTCTTGCAAAAATTGGTAGCCCAAGCTTACTTCCCATGGTTCTTCTCAGCGGCTTGGACAGAGGTTGGGTGAGTGGGTGTTTTAAACCCCTTGTCAATTATGTTTCTTTTTAGAGCAAGTGGACGCTTGTTGATTTCACATTCAGGTCACTCAATTACACAACTTCACTGGAGTGTAATAATTTCCCATGAAACTGAGCTCTGGCATACGTAAGCATGCAGAATGAAGCGGTAGAATCCCGAGGCCATAGAGCAGACTGTACCACTTCAGACCGCTGTGAGAGGGTGGTGTGTGTGTGCCACATTTTTGAACACTCATCCAGGTAAAAACTCTCCACAAGGAGAAATCTAGTACGTCAGGGAGAACAAATTCTCGCCCAGCTAACTCCCTGCCGTGCTCGTTTGCAAGTGCAGGAAGTGGGTGCTGCTTGCTTTCCTTACATAGAGAGGTATTTAAATGTGAGGTCTCACCTGCAGTCTGAAGTGGTACAGACCACTCTACAACCTCAGAACTCTATTAATTACTTCACTCCCACTTCATTCTGCTACATATGTGGAGCACTCCTGATTCACCTGACACGGAGGTGGATCTTCAAACACATGGCTCTTAGGACCAAAGTACACATTTCACCATGAATCCTCCATTGAACTCTAGACATTTTATTTTATGCTCTTACTAAGTGCATTCGCAGGGGGACTGCATGCACCATGCTGGAATGTTATCAGCCACAGAGCAAACAGCAAGTGTGCATGTGTTCGGGCGACAGAGGATTTAGATCAGGAAAACAGCACAGTTAAAGGTAAAGGGACCCCTGACTGTTAGGTCCAGTCACAGATGACTCTGCGGTTGTGGCGCTCATCTTGCTTTACTGGCCGAGGAAGCCGGCATACAGCTTCCGGGTCATGTGGCCAGCATGACAAAGCCGCTTCTGGCGAACCAGAGCAGCACACAGAAACGCTGTTTACCTTCCTGCTGGAGTGGTACCTATTTATCTACTTGCACTTTGACGTGCTTTCAAACTGCTAGGTTGGCAGGACCAGGGACTGAGCAACGGGAGCTCACCCTGTCGCGGGGATCTGAACCGCCGACCTTCCAATCAGCAAGCCCTAGGCTCTGTGGTTTAGAGTACAGGAGGTGTAAGCATTAAACACCTACACCCCCAAGCTATTTCCCTGATCCAGCTAGCACCCCATAACAGCCTTTAGTTAAGCAAAGGATTTAGACACCGGTCATGTGTAGTTTGTCTCTTAAACAGTGTTAAAACTATGTTCAAGAGATTTTGATGATATGACATATAAGATCCCTGTTGAGAGAATGCCAAAAGTAGGTAGTAAACATGGGTGAAGGGCGTACAATAGAATATTCATAAGAATACTTACTAGGCTTCTAGCAACAGGAGGAGAAGCGGAGACAATGACATGATTTTTCTTTGTATGAAAGTCATTGTGTTCATTTAATGAATACTATTGCAAAATCAATAAAAATATTGGGGGGGTGGCAGTGCGGGTTCCAGGATTTGGGGAATCCCTAAATTAAGCATCTTCAGTGGGTCCCCTTGAACTGAAAGAGGTTGGGTGTGCAGTGACACTTGGGACTGTGGGCCCATCTGCCAAGCACGAGACCTTTGCAAATGCCCAACCTGTCCACCCTTTGCAGCAAACCCTGGTCTTAAGGTATGTAAGAAAAGCTGTTCTCAGGTGTCATCATGTTTTGGACTGGAGTGACTATGCAAATAAAGACAGGCAGGCAGAGGGTACTTCCGGACAAGGACAATTTAGCAACACGCACTCAACGCTGTCCTGCTTGAAGCCGGAAGTGGAATAGCAGCTCTACTTACAAACCTCTGGCATTCTGTAGCCAACTAGGCAGTCCCTCGTTCGCCTGTTCCAAATGTTGGAAGGCAATTTTCATTGGGATCATTTGTGGGAAGAAAAGGTTAAAGACTCCTTCTCCCCCACTCCCCTCCCAGTAATGGTAGTGCCCCCACACACCCTTCTGCAAATTAAGGAGGAGAAAAAAAGATATAGAAAGCCAAAGCTATTTGGAAATGCAAGGAATGGAGAGGCAGAGCCGATTCTTCGAGAGGGAAGACAAATGATTGAGAAGGAAATGGCGGGAGGACATCCCAGGAAACAGCTAGAGCAATCTAGTAGGATGGAATAGCAGCACATAGGCTGTCTACAGCAGGGGAAATTGTGCACTGAGTTGTCTACAAAAAAAGGGTTGGGTTTTACGAGCCCCCAGGAGGAAAAATGTGGGGAAACTTGAGAGGGGGGTGTTTAGTTAATGATACTGTACAAATGCCCTGTAAGAACTGAGTGAAGAAGCAGAGCTGTTCCAGTGTGAGAGCAGCTAGAGAGAGAGAGGCAGAGAGAGAGACCCATTCTCAATTGAGTTCCCCAAGAGACTCACGTACATAGCATGAGGTTCCTTGAATTTCCCAACCTGCTGGATATGATACATCAGGTCTCCTCCATTGACATACTCCATGACAAAATAGAGCCGGTCCTTGAAGGGGGGAAAAAACAGGATGTGTGTCCATTATTGCCAGAGGCAGATAGTGAAAGATACAGATACCACAGGATGCCCCCTTCGCTCTCTGCAATGCTTAGTCAGTTAAATCAATTAAGACAGGGATTCCCAAACTTTTCCCCTCATGGGCCACTTGAAAATTGCTAAGGGTCTTGATGGACCTCTTAATTATTTTTCTTGCCTCTAGTAGCAATTGTAATGCACTGTGCCAGATGCTATATAATTCTAAATTATATTTTTATTGCTTCTTCCCACCCCACCCCCCTTTATTGTATTACTGTTTGGGAATTCCACAGAATTCATATTGTGTGTGTTCCTCACGGACAGACGCCTGAATAAAGCACAGTGACCCATTTGGGAACCCCTAAATTAAGATACATTTTGATTGAATGTGACTCAATTAATTGGACAGCAACCTTTCGAAACTTATTTTAACCACTAGTTCTAAAAAGATATAGCTGCCATCTTATAAGAAGACATTCCCTCCTGCGCAAGAGAGATGAGGGGAAGTGCCTCTTCCGAGATGTTGCTGTGTCATCCATTTTCATCCATTTTCTCTTGCATGCAAATTTAAGTGGATGCAATGAATTACTTAATCAACAAAACAGCATACAGTTAAATAGCTACGGTTTCTTTAATCGAGTAAATAACCACATGCAATTACTGCAGTTTGGAAGGTAGAGTGCAGCTGGGTTAGGAAATGTGGACGCTCCCCCATGGCCAAAACTCTCTTTTCCACCATAGTACATTCAACGTCGTCATCTTGGATGATCACGTCTTTCTTGAGGATCTTGATGGCAAACAGCTCGTCCGTTCCACGGCGCTCCGCCAGCATCACCTGTGGGGTAAAGGTAAAGGTAAAGGGACCCCTGACCATTAGGTCCAGTCGTGGCCAACTCTGGGGTTGCGGTGCTCATCTCGCTTTATTGGCCGAGGGAGCCGGCATACAGCTTCCGGGTCATGTGGCCAGCATGACTAAGCCGCTTCTGGCGAACCAGAGCAGCGCACGGAAACGTCATTTACCTTCCCGCCAGAGCGGTACCTATTTATCTACTTGCACTTTGACGTGCTTTTGAACTGCTAGGTTGGCAGGAGCAGGGACCGAGCAACGGGAGCTCACCCCGTCGCGGGGATTCAAACCACCGACCTTCTGATCATCAAGCCCTAGGCTCTGTGGTTTAACCCACAGCGCCACCCGCGTCCCTCACCTGTGGGGAGAGAACCCCAAAAGTTTGGGTCTTGCCCACACCTACCCAAAGCAAACTCATGACAACCTGGGCTTCTCTAACCCTTCAGGGAACACACACACTCCAACCCTTACACAGAACTTACTTCCCACATAGGGACAGTAGTGTTTGGGTTTTTTTACTGAATTCAAGGTGGTATGATAAAAACATTGTTTTCCTATGAACAGAGACAGTAGGTGGTGCTAAATGAAAACAGCACACACCCCTAACACAAATTGAAAGCCCATTGGCAGGTGTTGAATTTTTGTAGGGAACATTCTAGGATGTTTCATAGGGCGAAAATTGCCAAATGATTTATGGAAGGGACGTTTCCATGGGCAGTGGAATGCAGTTTAGTTATTCCCTCCCCACCCCCCTTAAACTTCTTTTAAAACTTTGCAAAGTGCTCTTTTGACCTGGAAGCTTCCATTTACTTATTGGTTCTTTTCCTGAAATACATTACATTTTGCCTTTCCACTTTAAAAAAAAACAACAACAACCACCAACCAACCAATATAACTTTTACAATACAACAGACAACCAGCACATGGCACAATTAAAAACTAAACAGTTTAAAGGCAGAGAAAAGATGCAAGATAAAAATTCCAGAAAAATTCCTGGGAGCAAAAGCACCATCAGCTTAACGACAGGCCCAAAGCCTGTCAAAATGAAGCAGTTTTCCTGAAGTGGTGAAAGACCATCAGAGAAAGAGAGAGAAAGGCAGGCTTCCCTAGGCTGTGAGTTTCACAATGTAGGTGTGGCCACAAAGGAAGCCCTCCCATGTTCCCCAGTCAATTGCATGTCTGATGCTGGGACACAGAACAGGTCCATATGTCCTGTTTGTTGAGCCTTCCTCCTGATTGTTATACAAGTGGTGTCTCTTAAAAGCTTCAAAGTAGCACAAGCTTCAATGTGAAAAGGAAGGAAGGAAGGAAGGAAGGAAGGAAGGAAGGAAGGAAGGAACGAAGGAAGGAACGAAGGAAGGAAGATGATAGATAGATGATAGATGATAGATAGATATAGATATAACAAAAAAAATTCCTTCCAGTAGCACCTTAAAGACCAACTAAGTTAGTTCTTGGTATGAGCTTTCATGTGCATGCACACTTCTTCAGATACACAAGAAGTGTATCTGAAGAAGTGTGCATGCACACGAAAGCTCATACCAAGAACTAACTTAGTTGGTCTTTAAGGTGCTACTGGAAGGAATTTTTTTTGTTTTGACTATGGCAGACCAACACAGCTACCCATCTGCAACGAGATATAGATATAGATATAGATATAGATATAGATATAGATATAGATATAGATATAGATATAGATATAGATATAGATATAGATATATAATCCTCTGGGTGGATGAGAGTTCCAGCACTGCAGAAGGGTGTGCTCAGCCTCCAAAGAACCAGAGGAGCAGGAGGCAAAAAGAAAACAAAGAAAGGTTCTCCAAATCCCGTGACAGTTCTGCAGGGGAAGCAGGTGACTTTACACACATTCTTGGAGGTGAAGTATTTCGTGCACGTACATCCTTTTCTCGCCATCGCACTTCCTCAAACAGGAATGTGTTCAATGTGTTGCTGTGCCTGCAGTTGCAAAACATTCCCTGCTCCTCTGCGCACATCCCTATCCGGCCGCTTAAAAAAAAAAAGCAGGCCTACCTTGCCGAAACTGCCCTTGCCCAGCACCATCAGGAAGTTGAAGTCGGAGATGTGGAAGCGGTTGATGCCAAAGAACCCGCCACGCTTGGTGTCAGTGGGGCTGGGGGATGGTGATGGGATGGGGCCATGGCGAACCTTCTGCAGGGCGCACCGTGGTTCGAGGCAGGGAGGAAAGGAAAACACAGACATGGATATGCATGAGTACCACCTCCTCCTTAAGCTCAGAACAAGGGGCAGGAGAGCCGGCAATACAACTAATGCAGTATCTATGCCAATAGTGGCACACTGGTTTATTTTAGTCAATATGTCCCCTGCCCCATGTTTACTCACTTTAATAATAATAATAATAATAATAATAATAATAATAATAATAATAATTTATTATTTATTCCCCAACCATCTGGCTGGGTTTCCCCAGCCACTCTGGGCAGCTTCCAACAAAACACTAAAATACAATAACCTATTAAACATTAAAAGCTTCCCTAAACTGTGCTGCCTTCAGATGTCTTCTAAAAATTTGGTAGTTATTTTTCTCTTTGACATCTGGTGGGAGGGCGTTCCATAGGGCGGGTGCCACTACCGAGAAGGCCCTCTGCCTGGTTCCCTGTAACTTGGCTTCTCACAGCGAGGGAACCGCCAGAAGGCCCTCGGCGCTGGACTGTCCGGGCAGAACGATGGAGGTGGAGACGCTCCTTCAGGTATACTGGACCAAAGCCATTTAGGGCTTCAAAGGTCAGCACCAACACTTTGAATTGTGCTCGGAAATGTACTGGGAGCCAGTGTAGGTCTTTCAAGACCGGTGTTATATGCTCCCAGTCACCAGTCTATTACCTTATTACACACTCTGTATGTTAGGAAGAGTTTGTGAAACTTGTGCAAAAGCTGTAAAGTAGCTTGGTTGCATGTGTAGTTCCTTATAAACATTTATAAAGCAGGGGTTGTGTGCAGTTTGTGGAGTGGCAGATGCATGCAACAAAGAAGGGACTTTCAATGGCTCAGGGCTTTGCATGCAAAAGGTCTCAGGTTCAACCCCAAGCAACTCCAGTTAGCGAGATCTCAGGACTGGGAAAGCATCTCTGAAACCTTGGAGAGCCACTGCCAGCTAGAATGACCCTCACTGGACCAATGGCACCTGGCACAGTGTGAGGCAGCATGCTATGTTCAAGGGTTTATCCTATATGGGAGGCCCAGGAATAGCCAGTCCTGTCTCAGAGCCTTCTGCCTTTCTTTCTTTAATCCATTTGCCCCACAAGTACTTTCTGCCTTCTGCTCATCTCCTGCAGGAGGTTCGGGGCAGTCAAAAGGAAATATTTCCTCTCTGTGCAAGTGTGGATTCAAACAGCAGCTCAGGGTGGCCACTCATAATAGAGGGTTTGTATCGACATCTGTGGCTATGAGCCATGATACAAAATGCAGTGTCCGTGTTCAGAAGTATTACGTGTGTGTGTGTGTGTGTGTGTAGGTAAAGGGACCCCTGACCATTAAGTCCAGTCGTGGCCGACTCTGGGGTTGCGGCGCTCATCTCACTTTATTGGCCGAGGGAGCCAGCGTACAGCTTCCGGGTCACGTGGCCAGCATGACTAACCCGCTTCTGGCGAACCAGAGCAGCGCACGGAAACGCCGTTTACCTTCCCGCCGGAGCGGTACCTATTTATCTACTTGCACTTTGACATGCTTTCGAACTGCTAGGTTGGCAGGAGCTGGAACTGAACAACAGGAGCTCACCCCATCGCGGGGATTTGAACCACCGACCTTCTGATCAGCAAGTCCTAGGCTCTGTGGTTTAACCCACAGCACCACCCACGTCCCATATATATATATATATATAAAAAGGTAAAGGTACCCCTGCCCGTACGGGCCAGTCTTGCCAGACTCTGGGGTTGTGCGCCCATCTCACTCAAGAGGCCGGGGGCCAGCGCTGTCCGGAGACACTTCCGGGTCACGTGGCCAGCGTGACATCGCTGCTCTGGCGAGCCAGAGCCGCACACGGAAACGCCGTTTACCTTCCCGCTAGTAAGCGGTCCCTATTTATCTACTTGCACCCGAGAGTGCTTTCGAACTGCTAGGTTGGCAGGCGCTGGGACCGAGCAACAGGAGCGCACCCCGCCGCGGGGATTCGAACCGCCGACCTTTCGATCGGCAAGCCCTAGGCGCTGAGGCTTTTACCCACAGCGCCACCCGCGTCCCTCCATATATATATATATATATATATACACACACACACACACACACTGAGAAAAACAACAAGGGGGTGGCTTTCTCCTCTAGGCACCTGTTTCTGTGGTTCGACTGCTTTAACATTTCTGCTACATTAGAGGGAGGGGGGAAAGGTGGGGGACACAGAAATAAAACAGAATTTGCATCTGCTGCCCTGACACTAAATACACTGACTTGGGTATAAGCACCACTTTGTTGCAGAAAAGGATAATTAATTAATTAATTGATTGATTGATTGATTGATTGATTGATTGATTAATTGGTGTCTGCAACAATGTGCATTTATAGCCAGCTGCTCCCTATATAGAGCGCTATTCAGTTTTTAAAAAAATAATAATAGTAATAAAAGGAAAGGATGCCCATGCCAGCCCAAGTGCAGATGCAGGGCCTGTTTGCTGCTGCCCTCAACATCAGTACCCGGAGATCCAAATCTGTGTCACTGCTTGGAGCTGCCCAGGAACGGCTCGTGCTGGGAAATGCTAGTCTTGATGGACTTTCCCCCCGTCCAAGCGTATCTGTTCCTCTTATGTTGCTTCCCTCCCACTCTATAAAGCCCTTGAAATCAGCTCCAAGACTGACTGATGTCCTTACGGGCAGCAAACGGGAAACCAACTTCACCCCCTCCCCATCTCATTGCACCAGGAAAAAGGCAGAAGAAACTAAGGGAATCGCAGGTACCTCATAGAGCTCCAGTGGGAAGTTGCAAGCCTGGAAGACCAAAAATAAAAATAAATCAGGGTTTAAGACAGATGCACAAGTAAACTTTGCCCTATTCCTATCTCCTGGCTAGGGGTACCATTTCAGGTCAATCAGTCTGACCACCCTCTCTCCCTCCCTTGGAGTCCTAAGAGAAGAAGTGATTCAGAGGTATTCCCTCCAACCTGGTTCCTTTCATCACAGCAGTGGCCCTACCACACCACCCCCAGCTAGGGGTGTGGTTTGTGTTTGGGCTGGATATGGCACATAGTTGGCGGGGGCAGACCAGGGGGGTGCCAATCCAAGCGGGGCCGGAGAGCCACAAGGTTACCTCAAATTTCTGCAGCAGCCCACAGTTTTCTGCATCGGCCACAGGGACACTATAATATTCGCCCTCCTCCTGATTGAGCAATTTGTACCTGGGACAGCAACGCAGACAGGGACACCAGGCAGGGAGGAGGAGGAGGAGGAGGAAGATGAACAAGAGGAGGGAGTGATTAGGGAGAGAGATGGATGGGGAGGAATGCAGAAGGAAATGGAAACGGAAGAGTGGGGTGAGGGGTGGGAGGAGAAATGAGGGGTATTTGATGGATTAGATAAGATAGATAAGTAGTTAAGGTAGATTAAAATAGATAAGGTAGATAGATAAGGCAGAGAAGACAGGTAGATAGATAGACAGATTGGATTAGATAATGGAGCCATCCAGGCAAACAGATAAAAACCCAAAGAGACGCCAAGACGGACGGGGAAAGAGAAAGAAAATGAGCCAGTGGTGGTCCCCCGAGTTGCCCCATCATACTCTTCCATCTTTGCTTCTCTCCACCACCCCCCTCCGGCCCTGCTTCCCCACAGATTTCCCCTTACCAGCCTTCCACAGGAACCTTGAAAAGCTCAGACACCCCAAAGGACATGGCTCCCATGAAATCATTGCGGGTTGTCCGGTCCCAGTCCCAAACCTCGATGGAGAGGCGCCGCTCCATGTCCCCTGGCTGCAGGGTGCTGGGGAGGTATAAAGAAGGTCAGAGTCTCTCTCTCTCTCTCTCTCTCTCTCTCTCTCTCTCTCTCTCTCACACACACACACACACACACACACACACACACAACCCCATCAGGGCTCTGGCTTCTAGATCCTCCATCACATCCGCAGGACTTACAAAGTGAAGGTTTCATTCCACACTGGGTTGAGGGTGGATCTAACGGTCCGAGTCTTTTGCTTTGTTAGGTTCTTAGGGTCAGGGATCAGCTTGAGTTTCACATAGGGGTCCGAGAGGCCATTGGGATCCATCGGGATCAGGTTAAGGGCTTCACCAACTAACAAAGAGAAGGAGGGAGGGAGGGGGGGAAGGGGAGACACGCATATTAGCTTCCAACAGAGGATTAGCTTCCAGCAGAGTAAGTACTGGAGGAGAGGGCGAGTGGGCGGGAAGACAGACCTCCTGCGTTCCCTAGTGGGAGGAGGAAGGAGGATCCACTGGCTCCCATCCCAGGCCACCTGCTGCGGGCCAAGGAAGTTGCTGTGGCAGCAATTGCTCCCACCCTCATATGTGGCTTGTGTGCGCGTTGGGGGTGGAGAGCGTGAAGGAGATAGTAGAGGGGTGGGTGAGGAAATCCCTTTCTGTCAAGAAAACTGCAGCGATGGCTTTCTCCTCACCACCTACATGCAGGGTTCCAGGAGGGGGGGAGGGAAACAAGAGAGGGGAAGAAAGTGTGCAGAGAAAGAAGGTGTGAAAAGCAGAGGCGGGGGATGTCAAGTTCTGCAGCTAGGAATAGAACCCAGGCGTCCTGGCTCTCAGCCTCCACCAGCTCAATCAATCCCACTTGCCGCCCCAGCCAGAGCCACAGCCAGGCCTCCTGCTCCCATGCTGTTCACCACCCGCCTCAACTCCAAAAGGTTTTCTTCCCTGGTGAAGGGCCCTGGGCATTTTCTTGATGTTCCAGCAGCCCCATTATCTGGACTGGCCGTTCTTAATAGCAATGCTGTCCCTGATTGTCACTATTATCAGAGAGCCAGTGTGGTCTAGCAGGTAAAAGTGTTGAACTAGGACCTGGAAGACTGGGGTTCAAATCCCCCGTCATGAACCTCACTGGGTGACCTTGAGCCAGTCACCATCTCTCAGGGTTGTTGTGTGAATACAATAAAGAAGAGGAGGACTATGTGCACCGCCTTGAGCTCCTTGGAGGCTACATGGGATATAGATGCAATCAATCAATCAATATATTGTATTACATTGGTACCTCGGGTTAAGTACTTAATTCGTTCCAGAGGTCCCTTCTTAACCTGAAACTGTTCTCAACCTGAAGCACCACTTTAGCTAATGGGGCCTCCTGCTGCCGCCACGCCGCCAGAGCACAATTTCTGTTCTCATCCTGAAGCAAAGTTCTTAACCTGAGGTACTATTTCTGGGTTAGCGGAGTCTGTAACCTGAAGCGTATGTAACCTGAAGCGTATGTAACCCAAGGTACCACTGTATAACAATAGCCATTATTGTTATTTTGAAGCAGATATAAAGAAAGGACGAGAAATAAATAAATAAATAAATTAGATAGTTACATACTCGTGTTGAGCTGTGATACTGAGGGACACAGGGAGCTGCCTTTGACTGAGTCAGACCATTGGTCCATGTGGCTCAGTATTTCCTACACTGACTGGCAGCTGACAGCTCCCCAGGGGGCAGAGGGTGTTTCCCCCCAACCCTAACTGGCTGTGCCAGGGGACTGATCCTGATAACTTCTCCAGGCAGAGCAGGTGCTTTACCACTGAGCTACCGCCCTTCCCTGTGCACAAGAACGCACATTCAAAGATTTGGCACCAAGGCAGTTTTCAATCCAAGAAGCAAACTAAGCTGAATCCTGTGATCTGTATGAATCAAGCAAACGTTGCATGAATTATGCAAATTGAGCAAGTGTGCATGCATTTGCATAATTTATTCCATCCCCGCCTGCGACGGGGAGCCAGAAAAGGCTACATGGAACTCTGAATCATGGCTCCAGACCCCTGGAAGTCTACGACAGCCCACTTTCCTGTCTATCATTCTCAATTCACCTGACACCATTTCAGATCTATGCAGAGCAGCATGCCTGGGAGTTTGTGTCTGCATCAGCTAAAATAATAAAAAAAAAATAAGCTTTTTAATTTGTGGCATGACAGTTTCTGTTTAAAAAGTGAGGGCTCCCTTTTAGAATATGAAGATTTCCAGTTAAAAGATATCCCTGATGGCTGGTACCCACCAAAACACAAGTAGTACTGGTGGCCCAAACTGCATCCCTCTGCAAGAGATGCCGAGAGATGAGGCTGCCTTGCCTCTCCATCAAGCTCTGCTGAAAGACCAGGAACTTCTGGCTCCCAGCCATTTTTTTCCATTCCTGCTGTTCACTACAAGATCCCTGTAACTAAGAATTAGTGCCTGGGCTTGCTTTTTCCCTACTCCCTCCCAACTCCCTTTTCCTTTTGTGTTGTGTCTCTTAGAAGGCAAGTGTAAAGGGTGGGATTTGTCAGCCACTGTGGGAGACTTTTTCAGCTGAAGAAATGACGTTATGCAGTTGTACCTCCTCCCCAACCTCTCAAAATCACTTGGGGAATGGGGCTGCCTTACATGTGTCGTTGGTCCCTTAAAGGCAGAATCAAACATCCTGAACATCTCAGCTTTTACTTTAATTTTATTTAATAGCAACAATTCTAGTCCTCGTCTGCTATAGCAATAAGCTTTGCACAATGGCTATTGAAATCTCAGTCGCTATAGAAGGGCTGAGCAGGATTTTCCCTGGCCAAAGAGGAGAGCCTCTGATCTAGCTACCCCATCACATCTTGTTTGCTCCCTTAAATATGAGACAACTGAGAGCAGCATAAGAGGGAAGGAAGGGTTCTCATCCTAGTTCATCACAGGACTGGGCAAAAAGACCTACTGCAGTTTGCCATTGAGAAGACAGAAGAGATGGAGCCAAACATTGGTTTCCTCTTGAGAAGGCAATCCACAACTGGAGCATCATGCCAGAGAAAGCGTAATTCTGTATTGTTGTCACCCACCTAAGCTCCAATGAAGATGTCAACAAAGAGTCAGCTTCAGGTGAGAGCAGGCCGACCTATTCCTATTCTTCCCCACTTCCACCAGTCACCACCATTCTCTTCTTACCAGTCACATGGATCTCGTCACTCCCAAATGTCTCAATGTGGAGCTGCAGGCGTCCCCTGCGTTCTGTGTGGTCCACACCGCACAAGCTGGGCACACAGTGGACGCAGCGCTTGTGCACATTCATCTCACAGCCTGCAGGGGGCAACAGAGGTGGGCGAGTTAAGCTAGGACCAGATAACCATAGACGGCAATGCTACCGTTCCCTCTGCAGCATTTAGGCTGCCATCCTAACCCCACTTACCCGGGAGTAAGCTCCATTTAATTCAATAGGACTTACTTCTGAGCAGACATAGGAGTGTCCAGGCAACTAACTGGTTAGTTGTTTTTTAAAAAAACAAACAACAGAAAAACCAACAACTTCCAATTCACTACAATTGTGTTTTATTAATTCAACAGATTTTTAAGAAATGTTTTGATATAGGATACACAATATACTTGGCTTACATAAAACTGGACAATTTCAATTTATAGATGATGATGATGATGATGATGATGATGATGATGATGATGATGAAAATTTCATCCATTTGGCAGTTTCACGTGCATGAATTCGCAAACTTCACAAGAGCCTCAGGACAATCTGTAGGTGCTACCTTGCGATAGTGATGTGTGCAAAACTCCATCAGATTCCTCTTACTTCAAATATAAATGTGGGTATCAATCCAGCTGTTGTTAATAATGACTAGCTCCCACTGAAATCCATGAAGCTTAATTTAGTGGTTAAGCTAGACCTAAGAGGGACGCGGGTGGCGCTGTGGTCCAAACCACTGAGCCTAGGGCTTGCCGATCAGAAGGTCACCAGAAGCGGCTTAGTCATGCTGGACACATGACCTGGAAGTTGTCTGCGGACAAATGCCGGCTCCCTCGGCCTATAGAGAGAGATGAGAACCGCAACCCCAGAGTCGTCCGTGACTGGGCCTAACGGTCAGGGGATACCTTTACCTTTAAGCTAGACCTACACATGCAGAAGGCGAAGGTGGGATAGGAGGAAGCTAGTCCATATGGGTGCATGGGACACTTCCCTCCGCCTGCCTGCCTGCCTGCCTGCCTGCCTGCCTGCCTGCCTGCCTTCTTTCTTATAACTGGTTTAAGAGGTGGCACTGCTGGCCAGCTTCCTCCTCCTGATTTCAGTACAGTGGTACCTTGGGTTAAGTACTTAATTCGTTCTGGAGGTCCATTCTTAACCTGAAACTGTTCTTAACCTGAGGTACCACTTTAGCTAATGGGGCCTCCTGCTGCTGCTGCGCTGCCGGAGCACGATTTCTGTTCTCAACCTGAAGCAAAGTTCTTAACCCGAGGTACTATTTCTGAAGCGTATGTAACCCGAGGTACCACTGTACTGCCCTTGTAGAGCAGAGAGGAGAACAACACTGCCTGTCATTGCCTCTAGCTCCACCTGCTGGTGGTCTCTTTGCCTTCCAACCTACCAATCCCCACGGGGATCAGTCCACACTGGGTGGGAATGATGTGATATAACAGCCTATAATACCAATTCAGACCGCAGACGGGGGAATCTCTCCTAGGTTTTCTGACTGGGTATTGTTTACTTGAGGAAATCTCCCTCCTGCTATCTTCCTAAGAGGCGCAGTCTATTTTCTTTCATCTCAGGGCACCATCATCTTGTCCTGCTGCATAAGTAGATCCAGCCTCAATCACAGCTAATTTTCACTACACTGAGGCCATGGCCTCTGCCTTATCGGTCCACTTTGTAAGACTAGTTGATGTGTATGCATGGGCGTAGCCAAGGAGGGGCAGAGAGGGGCAACCGACCCCCAATCAATAAAAATCAATAAAAATACATAGCCGAGGTTCTGCCACCCCCACCAAAAGCCCTGCCCCCCCCCAAAAAAAATCCTGCCTACGCCCATCCATGTATGGACCACTTCTCCTAAGTCATTGAAAAGATGGACATATGCAACCTCAGCCACTGTTGAGGCAACCCTGGGACATAGTCTTAATAGTAGAGGCACGGCAACTACCTCCACATTGAAGGTATAGAGCGGAGGTTGAAGAATACCACCTTACCTACCCAGTGCATGATGGAGCTAATTCTGAACTGAGGATTTACTGTTCATAGCACACACTCTTAACCCCCACGCCACAACAGACCTCTGACAAAAGAGGCTTTTGCTCTGGAGAGCCCATGACACAGTTAGCCTTTACAGCACCACAGGACTGATTTATTTCTTTTTTGCGGAAGGCAAATGGTTACTCACAGGTGCATTTCATTCCCTGGTGCACCAGCCCATAGAGGAGCGAGCCGCAGTGATCACAGAAGGTTGGGCTGCTGTAGCTGTGAATTTTGAACTTGTGCTTGTTCCGAGGATCCTGTCAAAGGGGAAAGGCACAGAAGCACAGCATCTATGACGAAGGGAACCTACACATGATTCTCTAAAACACTTGCGTCTTTTGTCCTAGTTCCATCCCTACCAACCCCACCCGTAAAAACCTCTGGCATGCAGGTTGTTAGGGGAGACTCAGCCCCACCATCGCCTTTTAGAGGTTGGAAGTGAGAATGCACAGTTGTTAAGAAGCACGTGGAAGACAAAAGGTATGGCTTGGAATGTGAATGTGCAGTTTGTGTGCAAGTGAAAAGGACGTTTTATGAGAGTGCTCATGGAGTGGAAACAAGTACATGAGAAAAAGGGGGTGCGCAATGTACAGTGTGACACCCAGGGTAGCACTAGAAGCTGCAAGTATTACCGCATTTTTTGCTCTATAAGATGCACTTTTTCCCTCCTAAAAAGTGAGGGGAAATGTGTGTGCGTCTTATGTTTTCCTCCTCCAAAAACTAGGTGCGTCTTATGGTCTGGTGAGTCTTGTAGAGTGAAAAATACGGTATTTTTCTTTTACTCCAATATCAGCCCAGTGGCTGGGGCAACCCAGCCACATGGACAGAGTATAAATAACAAAATTATTATTATTATTATTATTATTATTATTATTATTATTAGCCATGTTGGAAGGGTAATCAAGATCAGAGTCATGGTGTATGGAGGGCTTAACCTCATCTTTCCTCTCCCTACAAAGGTACAATTCATCCCAGGAGGGAAGCTCACCTTGAAGCTCCCCTCCCAGATGTAATAGCAACTCGGGAGGATTTTAATTGGGAACACATCACAAAAGGTAAAGGTTAACCTCATGAACAGCAGCTATTTAAATGGTGGGGGTGAACATGTTGGGAATGCATGTTGCTCCCAGTGACACATTTAGCATCATGTGTAGTTTGGCCCTAAGAGCCTTTAAAAATAAATGCTAGGGATTGATTCTGGGACCTCAAATATAGATGCTACATGTCCTCCTACCACACAATTATGGATTATGAACATGAATTGGGGGTCTACAGGTGTGGATTTCCATGACTATTCTATGAATATGTACACAGTACATTCCACAAGCATGTAGCACTGCTTAGATATTTCAGTAAATGTGGTATATAAATAGCTGCAATAAATAAACAAATAGGTGTGCATGATAGCACAAAAACATACTCAACATTCGGAGCACAATTGGGGTGGCAGAAACACGTAATTTCAAACAAAACCACATAGTACTAAACGCTAGATTTTTAAAGACGTGTGCTTAACAACTCTGCCTTTAGGGCCTGGGTGCCACCAATGTATCTTCTTCTCCTGTAAGAACATGCAGGTCTGGGCATGCATGTTGCAAGCTTGGATGCAAGTGAAGTTGCATGACACATGCCTCAGTGCATGGAACTGAGAAGGCACTCAGGGGACAGGTAGTTCTGTGCGATGCAGTTCTGCAAGGCAATTTGTTTGCAGTTGAAGGAGCGAGTCAGGCAAGCCCTCCCATCCTTCCTTATTCCTTCCCTGGGATTTCCAGGCCAAGGACAACAGAAATGGGACAGTGTCAGCCTCATGAAGACATCCACTCCCCACTCCCCCTCTCTGCAATATAAATAGCAAGGAAACCGGGACGCTCACCTGGAGTGGAGGAGTGAGGCCTGAAGTCCTGGCTGCCAAGCCCTCCCCACAGTACTCTGCCCACCAAAGTCACGGAAACAGAAGTGGTTAGCGTATCCATTTCCCCCACCAACCCAATTTTTATTCCTCCCCGGCAAATCCCCATCAATTTTGGAGGCAGAAGCAAAAAGAGTTATAAGTAGCCACTTACATCTGTCTGGGGTCCTTTCCCAGCTCCTGGGCACTCAAAAGTGACAAATTCATGACACCTCTTGTGCAAGACAAAGCTGCACACTAAGAAAGGGGACGGAGAAAGAGAGAAAAGTTTACTGGGGAAAGGGGGGTTGGATTAAGTGCTGAGTAGAAAGGGGGGTGGGAATAAATCTTTGTTGTTCTTTATTGGAGGAAACTGCATCACGAAACCATACATGACCCAGGTGTCTAGCAGCACAAAAACACGACCATGTGACGTTACCGTATGCTGAGGCAGGCCATTGGTCCTTCATTCCAGGTTGCATACAAACCACAATTAAAGCACATGACCATAGCTGTCAACGTTTCCCCTTTTTTTAAGGGAAATTCCCTTATTCCGAATAGGATTCCTCACAAGAAAAGGGAAAAGTTGACAGCTATGCACATGACTTCACCTCCCCCAAAGAATCCTGGGAGCTGTAGTTTTGCTTTGCATTTTGAATTGTGATGGGTAAGCTACCATTCCTATGGTTCTTTAGGGCAGTGTTCCCCAACCTTGGGTCTCCACCTGTTTTCGGACTACAATTCCCATCATCCTTGACCACTGGTCTTGCTAGCAAGGGATGATGGGAGTTGTAGTCCAAAAACAGCTGGAGACCCAAGGTTGGGGAACACTGCTTTAGGGGAAGTCATGGGCTTTAAGTCAATGGTGTGTACACAGCCCCTGTGTTATCTATTCTGGCCGGCAGCAGCCGGCTAGAGTCCCTTTCCTATCCCTGCTACTTGATCATTAAAGACAAAACAAAGCCTGGACTGAACGCGAGACCTTTTGCTCGCAAAACATGAGGCCTACCACTGAGCTATGGGATCTCCTCCCGGCGCTGGAACTTAGTACTCTGTGTTTAATGCTGCGGAGAAAACTATCACCTCACTGGCTTCTGGCACTGGCTATGGCAGATTAGAATCTTTTCTTCCCCTATCCGCTTTCATTGAAATGAAAGGGTGGCCCACCCTAACCTTTTACCACCTCTATGTTAGTATGCCAGGCTGTCTAAATGGGCCAATATTAATATGTGCTAATTGATCTCGACTTTGTACTCATGGGCTTTTCCATTAAAGCCAAGCAGCAAAAGTGCAAGGAGTGAGTGGGCTTTCTGGGGGGAGAGGAGAGACTGGATATTTATTAGTCTGCAAATGCAGGTGCAGGGTGAGGGGGTGACTTTTCTCTCCTTTCCTCCCCCCCCCCACGCCTTTAGCATCTTCAGGCCTGAGATTTGGAAGATGGGTCTCCATGGCAACAGGCGGGGGACGAATCCACAAGTACCCACACACAGCGGGGGAGGGGGATCGGACGGAGTCAGAGGAAGGGGGCAGGGAAGACATTTGCTCAGGCTCAGGCTCAGGCACACACACACATCCTCTGAGACAATTAGGATACAGCCCTCTCCCAGAGAACCTAGCCCTGCTTTTCACTTATCCATTCAGCGCCCCCTCCCCACAATATAGTTGCACATGTTTCATTTGCAGCTGGGCCGAGTTAACAGGCATTTGACCTACAGCAAACAGAAGGGGATCGCGTGCAGTCCAGGCGCTGAAACCTTTGCCTGCTATTTCCTGTTCATCTTTAAGATGCCATTGTTGTTTTGCTGCTGTTTCCTGCGTATCCAGCCGCTGTAAAATACACAAGGGCAGCCCAAGCCCATGACTTTCTAGCCAGTTGGCAACCCCTATCCCTGATCCATATCTCTTGCTCGCTCACTTTTGTCAGTGCCTTGGGTTCCCATGGCAATGGATTTCCCAACTGAGCCATTGCCGTGTGTGTGTGTGTGTGTGATGTCCAGCGTACATAAGGGGAATTACAACATGAAGTGGAGGTGGTGGGTGCTGAGACCTAGAATACCTAACGGTGGGTGGGGTGGGAAGGGGCAGGAATGTTACCCAGAGGGCTATGATGGAGCATGCCTGGAGCCAGACTTCCTAAATTCTCCAGGAAAGGAGTGGCGGCTGATGAGCTAAGAGGGCAAATTGGGTGCGGGAACGAGGATGTTTGGGTCCTCTCAGCTGGGCAAAGGGATGCATAGTTGGAAAAGCAGGATATGATATGGGACATCAGTTGATTGGCAGGTGTTGACAGAGCTGGCAAGTGAGGAGGGGGGTTGCTTAGCAGCCGTAGTGTGGTTTCTTAGCAACCGGCAGGTCTGGACACAGAGAGCTGAAGATGTGTTTTGCAGAATGTAATAAAGTTGCGGGGCGGGGGGGGGGGGCGGTTAGGGGGGGAGGCAGGCAGGGGGAGATCCTTAGGCCTCCATGGGGAAGGGAAACCTGAACCCAGAAATCGCACTGTGGAAAGAAGCAGCACGGGGAAGCCATAAATATTAAACTGGACGGGAGCTGACATGAATGTTTGTGAAAGGCAGGGTAGGGGCATCTCCAGGTGTTAAGTGCTGGCTTGCCAGCATGACTCTTCTTCACAAGTGCAACTGGTAGAGGAGGAAATTCCAGACAAACATAGGAGCCTGTGAAAATGTGCAGGGATGGGAGGCCCAAAATGTATGTTCATGGGAGAATTTCTGCACGTGCTCACATGCATGAGGGCGAACATCAGAGAGGGGGGTTGGAGACCTGTCGGAGAAAGGTGTCTGTGGGGGGCCACGCATCTCACGGCAAGCGAAAGGGCGTGAGCACATGGCAGAGCATGTGCGTTTACATTTTCATTGGGTGTGCAGTAGAGCACATCCGTGCTGTCTAATTAAGCACAATTGTGTCCACGGCCCAGTTCACATGTCATGAAGGGGCCTAAAAGGGCTCTTTCCCCTGCTGACACTTTTGTCTGAACCAGGAATCGTCTGTTTTGCTCCAACGAACCACAGTCAGTATGCCAAGAACAAATCTCGTCGATAGGTTGTGGTTTGTTGGCAGTGAAACAAGACGCAGTCCCTGGTTAAGACATAACGCTAAGCCAGGGCTCGTGAATTTCTTTCTTCCGTATGCTCGCAGGGAGGAGCAAAACAGACCAGAAAGGCACAACCCAGTAAGCAATTAACTTACGTTTTTCTGTGACATGTGAGCTAGGCCTATGGATAAATGAGGACCTAACTGCGCATGGCATGTGTTGTTTATCATTTTGGCTTTTTACTTATTTTGCAAAAAAAAACCCGCAGGATGTGGTTTTTCATAGAAGCCTGAAGGATATGGGTTACCAACCACTTACCCTCCAGTTTGTCTGCTGAAGGGGGGAAAAAACATTCCACAAGCTGCTTCCCCTACTCCCAGCAGAGGAAAATTTATAGGTGACTTTATATTTTCCCCTGTGGGATGAAAACCAAATTGTGTGTGATTTTCCACAGGAAGATACTGGAGGATAAAGGGATAAGGAGCCACTCTCCTCTTCTGGTCTTTAGTGGAAGGCTGCATACTTCACAGTGCTGGAAAGCTGGTGTGATCAAATAGCGGCTAGAGTGCCAGATTAGGACCTGTGTGATCCCACTAAGCAATGAAGCCCACTGGGTGACCATAAACCAGTAACTCTGTATTCGATTGTGTTTACATTATCATTTACTCTTCCTGCAGTGCAGTCTCACCACAGGCTTTTGCACAATGTTACCCACAATGCAGAGCTACTCTGTACTTCCTTGAGAAAGACTGCTGCTTTGAAGCCACATTCACTTCACAGTGAAACTGAGGTGTGTACACTTGAGGCAGCCATTGCACATGGGCAGATGGCAGCTTCATGAATATGAGTCAGAGGAGTTGCAGGGGCTTGCAGGGGCAGGGAAAGCAAATACCGTATTTTTCTCTCTATTACACGCAGATTTTTTCTCCTAAAAAGGAAGGGGAAATGTCTGTGCGTGTTATGGAGCGAATGTGGGGGGGGGGTCCCTGGAGCCGATTAGGGGAGCGCAGGAACAAAAATCAGCAAAAATCAATCGTGCGTTGTGTCCGAGAGGGAAACCTGAAAAGAGGAAGTGGTTGCTTTCCTGCATTCTGCCTCAGGGTCTTACTGCCCACCCTCCTCTGTTTCGTTGCTGTGTTTGCTCAAACGGAACAAAGAGCAGGCAAATCCCCTCCCCTCCAGGCAAGCAGAGGGGAAAGCAGAGGTCTTTCCTTCTAATTCCTCTCCGTGCTCCTCGCAGGCAGCCAGAAAACATGCAGGAGGAGAGAGAAAGCTGGCTTCGGTTTGTGGAAACTTTTGCCTTTCTTTCTTCCCTCCTGTAAAATCCCTCTCCTGCTTTCTTAGCCAGCTGCTTCTCTGCACACCGCTCTCTTGTCCCTTCTGTGTTTTTCCTTCACTCCCCACTTAAAATGTAGTTACAAAGCATGGATCCACATGGATCCTCAGGATCTTTGCATTGGGCCACCCCAAATTCACCATCAGATCACATAGCAGCCTGCCCCCCTAAAATCACACACCCACTGTTGCCTGGGGCTGCAATGGTGCAAAAACGTGGTTAAAAAGCATGGATCCACATGGATCCTCAGGATCTTTGCATTGGGCCACCCCAAATTCACCATCAGATCACATAGCAGCCTGCCCCCCAAAAATCACACACCCACTGTTGCCTGGGGCTGCAATGGTGCAAAAACGTGGTTAAAAAGCATGGATCCACATGGATCCTCAGGATCTTTGCATTGGGCCACCCCAAATTCACCATCAGATCACATAGCAGCCTGCCCCCCAAAAATCACACACCCACTGTTGCCTGGGGCTGCAATGGTGCAAAAATGTGGTTAAAAAGCATGGATCCACATGGATCCTCAGGATCTTTGCATTGAGCTACCCCAAATTCACCATCAGATCACATGTCTGTGGCCACAGCATGAAGCACAAAAATGATACATCCACTGTTTCATTCAGAATTTTTTTCCTTGTTTTCCTCCTCTAAAAACGATGTGCGTGTTATGGTCAGGTGCGTGTTATAGAGCGAAAAATACGGTAGGTCATTGGGTGCAGACATCTGGTGTGTACGACAGCATACAAATGCAACTCTTGAAGCAAAGGGGTGGGGGTGGAGACAGATGATCTTGCTGCATTGTCAGCCATTAACATGTACATGGCCTGAGTCTACCCTGTGTTGTGAGATTTTTGTCAGAATAAAGCGGAGAGGGAACCATGTATGCAGTCCTAAGCTTTTTGGAGAAGGAGACATAGATAAAAATGTAGTCAATAAATGTATATATGTATTTAAAATCAGGGGAGTAGGGAGTTGCAAGGTAACCACATATGACAGTTTCATACGGAGGTTGATCCGAAGAATTAGTGCATCTTCATAGATTATAATTTCCTATGCAAAAAAAAGTCCCATGGACTGCAAGAAGATCAAACCTCTCCATTCTTAAGGAAATCAGCCCTGAGTGCTCACTGGAAGGACAGATCCTGAAGCTGAGGCTCCAATACTTTGGCCACCTCATGAGAAGAGAAGACTCCCTGGAAAAGACCCTGATGTTGGGAAAGATGGAGGGCACAAGGAGGAGGGGACAATAGAGGATGAGATGGTTGGACAGTGTTCTTGAAGCCACTAACATGAATTTGACCAAACTGCAGGAGGCAGTGGATGACAGGAGTGCCTGGCGTGCTCTGGTCCATGGGGCTACGAAGAGTCGGACATGACTAAACAACAACATGCAAAAAACAACAACAACAAACCACCATTTCTATATAGGGGGAAAATGTGTATACAGTAATGGCATAAAGCGCAGGGTTTGTTTCTGGGGGCGTGTGCAGGGGGGATTCTGAAATGAACACACACAGTGGAAGAAAACACTCCTGATAAATGCACAAAATGTGAAGTGGATACACACAACTCCAAACATACTTTGAACATGTTTTGAGTTGTGGTGGATTTTGTTGGCCCTCCAAACATATCGAAACCAATGTAGGTAGGATCTTCTAAGTATGAGGTGGAGATTTATGGCTAACTTTACAAGTATCTTGGTGGACGGTGTAATTGCCATCTTCCACACTCCTGTGCATATGTATACTGGCATACACATACACACACACTCCTGACCGTGGTGGGGGCAGAGCACAAGGAAGCTGGAGGCAGGTGCAAATGTGAAGGTAAATTTGGACTGAAGTGTCAGGTACAAGGGGAGCGGAAGAGATAGAAGTGTATATAAAATACAAGAAGAATGAGAGAGAGATTTCACAGCCCTAAAATAGACGAAGAAATCTAGTTCAGCGAAACAATAAAACCTGGCTCAGGGGCCATGTGTGTGTGAACTGCCTGATTAAAAAGGGAATTAGGGAAATTAGAAGCAACCCAGCCCAGCACCCACACAAATCCAGCTCTCCCTTCCTACTAAGAGCCTGTGAGTCCTGAATCCCAGCTCTTCTGTCCCCTACATGCCAGCCTGTACTCCACAGGAAGTTACTCTTCTCCCAAAGAACCCAGGTGCCCTGGCTCTTATTTAAAAACTTCCCTAAACAGGGCTGCCTTCAGATGTCTTCTAAATGTCATATAGTTTATGTCATTATAGTTTATGTTAAACTATATGTCATATAGTTTATTTGTTTGACATCTGATGGGAGGGCATTCCACAGGGCGGGTGCCACTACCGAGAAGGCCCTCTGCCTGGTTCCCTGTAACTTCGCTTCTTGCAGTGAGGGAACCGCCAGAAGGCCCTCGGTGCTGGACCTCAGTGTCCGGGCTGAACAATGGGGGTGGCGACACTCCTTCAGGTATACTGGGTGAATCCTGCCCTTTGTTCCCAGCTTTCCTGTTCCAACTAGATCTGCTGCTTTGTCTTCCCACAGAGGTTCTGTAAATTGAAAAGCTACCCAACAGAAACAAATTCAACTGGTGTATCTTCTGCCTAACTCCATGTCACAAGTTACAATCTGTTGTGAAAGTCATGGAACCGCCATCAAGAAGAAAGATTTCAAGTTACAGCAGCCCTTTTCCCCCAAGAGCAAACTCCTGACCCAGAATTTGTCTTTATGCACATACAAACTGAGTGGAGAGAATGCCTCTGAGGTACATGCAGAGTGCCCTTCTTCCCTGAGCACTGACGTGCTACAAGCAATCCACCACATTATCTGGGCTGAGGGATGAATGTGGCTTCCGCTCCCGCAACCTCTCTTTTATAAAATTGCAATTTCTTCCCCACTGTGACCCTGCTGGGGTGCTTCATATGCCTGATTGTGCTTTCACAACATGTGGTGCTCTCCTCATGAAAGGAGGACCAACCCAGAGAGGAAAGCCAAAAAAAAGTTCTTACCTAAGCACTGGAGCCCCTGCTTTCCAATCCCCCTGCATAGAAAGTTAAAATAAAAAGAAGGAAGAAAAGAAACAGGTTGTTAGCTCACACAAAGCGTAGGACGCCAGCTTTAAGGAGCACTCTGCTAGCAAATCCCTTAGATGTGACTTTAGCAGCACATCCATGTGCCAGGGAGAGGTGGGGGATAAGACAGACTTATAGGAAGGGAGTCATGCTGAGTGGTTAGAATGCCAGAAAGCAGTGTGGATTTCAAAAATGCAAAGTCTCTTGTACCCATACAAGTTAGGGTTGCCATACATCTTAGACTCGGGGGGGGGCTCAACATTTTTGGGGTCTTCCTAAAAAAAGGGGTGTCCTGGTTTATACTTTTTGAAATATGGCAACCCTAATACAAATTTATGTCCATTAACTGGATAATTTAACCTACAATAACAATAATCCTCCTGGTTACATACTCATAATCCCTAGCATGGGTTACAATCTCCATAAGCAGAGGGTGGGAACAGAATCCTCCATTCTATTACACTGACGATAATTATCGCTGGGTGACTGAAAGCACAATCCGATGAATTTTACTTACCAGTAGTCCCACTGTGTTTGGGCGGGGGGCATACTCCCAGGTAAGTGTGTGCAGGATTGCAGCCTCCGTGCATTATTATTTATTAAATTTATCAATCACTTCTCTCTCTCTCTCTCTCTCTCTCTCTCTTAATCAAAAAGTAACTCAAAGCTACACTTAACAGAAAAGTAACACATACATTAAAACCAGCATAAAACTAAAACAAAATGAAATATAAAACTCATTTGTATTTTTAAAATAAACTAATTTCAGCCAGTGAAGGAGGCTGCAGATGATTAAAAGCAAACAACCTGGCGAAAGAGAAATCTCCCCCTCCCCTTGTGCCTAAAGATAAGTAGCGACGGCACCGGGCATGCCTCCCTGGGAGAGTGTTCTGTAAGTGGGGTGAGAAGCCACCACTGAGAAGGCCTGCTCTTGTGTTGATGTTCTCCACACCTCCCTCAGAGGGGAAACATGGAGAAGGGTCTCAGATGATGAGCACAGGGGTCAAGTTGGTTCGTGAGGGGAGAAACGGTCTTTAAATTAGTTTCAGATACAGTCTTAGCTCATTTTACTGCCTGAGGCAAAGGACAAGATGGCACCCTCTCTCCCCACATTTCCATGTGCAGAAGCCAACACTAGACTAACAGGTAAACCTTATTTCAACGCTGACAACGGGCAAATGTGTTCTCCTGTGGGCGGCATGCTAGCTTAGAGGGCACAGGACCCTGCACATCTCTTGTCCAACAATTTGCTGCTGCTCCTTATCCTCCTCACCGGGACAGGTTGACCACAGTCAGAGCCACGCTACACATTTAAGGCACATAAAGGTGAAGGCAAAGGGACCGCTGACCATTAGGTCCAGTCGTGACCGACTCTGGGGTTGCGGCGCCCATCTCGCTTTATCGGCCGAGGGAGCCGGCGTACAGCTTCCGAGTCATGTGGCCAGCACGACTAAGCTGCTTCTGGCAAACCAGAGCAGCGCACGGAAACACCGTTTACCTTCCCGCCTATTTATCTACCTGCACTTTGAGGTGCTTTTGAACTGCTAGGTTGGCAGGAGCAGGGACCGAGCAACGGGAGCTCACCCCGTCATGGGGATTCAAACTGCTGACCTTCTGATCGGCAAGTCCTAGGGTCTGTGGTTTAACCCACAGCGCCACCCGCGTCCCATGGCTTCCCCCAAAGAATCCTGGGCACTGTAGCTTACACAGCCACACAGTGACCATTCCCAGCACTCTTAACCAACTACAGTACCCAGGATTCTCCTGTAGTATGAACCTTTAGACTGAAGCAAAGGGGGGGGGAGTGGAACAGCCAGGATTCTTAGTTAAATATGTCAGCTAGTTAAATCCACACATACGCACATGCCATGGTAATAGTCTCCAAAAATTGACAGCCAGTATCTCAATGTTCCACCAGCTCTAACAGACACTGGAGATGGCAAAGCCTCTTTCAGCATGTAGGGAAATACGGTGTGTGTGTGTGTGTGTGTATCTGTACTTCTCTTTGTAGTCATTAGAATACTGATGATGTCGCTTTTTTTATTTTAAGGTTCAGCATTTGGCTTTAATTAAAAATGCACACAAGGAATAAACTAGCCAAGCAGGAGGTTATGATGACAAGAGCAACTGGGAACATGAGGAGGGGGGCGGGAAACAAGGTGCTAGAAAAGCGAGCTGCAAACATCTCCTCTCTGCCACATACACAAACGCACGCATATTTTAACTCATGAAAAGTTTTTAATTGGGCACTAGAAAGCTGCCTTGTACTGAGTCAGGTCATTGGTCCATCCAGCTCAGTATTGTCCACACTGACTGGCAGCAGCTGTCCAGGGTTTCAGGCAGGTGTCTCTCCTCACCCTCCCCAGAGATGCCAAGGACTGAAAGTGGGGTGCTAATCAGTATAGCCAGAAGCATAAGAGGGCAGGGATCCCGACCTTTTAAAAGAGGGGATTTCGGCAGGTGTGGAGTCTGGTTACTCCGGGTCTAAATATAAATGAGAAATAATAGGAAATGGGGTGCGGGGGACATGGGGGAGGAGCCTGAGAAATGTAGGACTCTTTGGCTGTTTGTGAAGGAAAGGGGTTAAGGGGCAAGAATTAGGATTCAGCAGTCCTGAGTTCTGAGCAATCAGAAAGAAAGGAATTCTGGGCCAGGAATGGTGGCCACAAATTTTGTTCCTCCTGCCCACCCGTCCACACAAAAACAAAAACGGGGCATGTCCAGTTCCACACAATAGTTTTTGTAGACTCTGCTCATGTATGCAGGGTTTTTCCCAGCATCCACATGACACTGTCCTCACCAAACTGCTATTCTGCATTATTTTCTCATTGCATCCAGTTTTACTATATCTGCAGAAATTCTGATACACAAACAAAAAAAGGTAGAAATGGTAAATCCAGAGTAAAGGAGGGTGGGGGATATGGGAATGGACTTGGAGGAAGAAGGTGTTGTGTGGAAGCTGTAGAAGATTTTGTGCCATTAGAAACAAATAAGACATGCTGTGTACGCATTACTGGCTTAAAGCACAGCAAGGCTGTTCTTTTTCTCAGTTTGAATCAAAGCTGGTTTGTGAGGAAGATGCGTCAAAACTCGAAATGCTGTGTTTCACAAGAAAGAACTGTATGGATACAGGATATGGATTGTGGCTGGAGTCATGTGTATACCATTTCTCAAACCAGCAGTGGGAGTTCACTGGATGCAGAGCAAACAGGAGTGTGTTCATATCCTGTGCAACTTTCCCCATCCCTGCATATCCTTGTGGGGAATGCTCTACCTGTTGAATTTCTGCAGGGAAGGAAAGTGTGTGTTAAAAGCAGAGAGTTTCTGCCATAAAGGGAAGGCAGCAATCTGACATGAGGAGTGTGGGTTTGGAGGGGGAGGGCATAAAGGTGGCTGGCATTCAGGAGACCACCCTTTTATTCCAGATTAAGGAGGCAGTCCTATTTGCATTTCACCTGGGAGTAAGTGCCACTGCACTCAATAGGACTTACTTCTGAATAGGAACAGGTAGGATTGCACTGTAATCCAAAATAATTACTACTGCCTGCCAATTCATGATCGCTAGCAAGGATAGTAATTCCTAAGATGTGTGACAGGGCACCTTCATACAAGATAGATAGATAGATGATAGATAGATAGATAGATAGATAGATAGATAGATATAGATAGATAGATGCACCTTGTGAACCTACTGCAAAAGGAGGCTGCCCACTGCGTCTCTGAATGAGTCGCTGTTCTTGCCTCACCTCTTCCAATCACCTTCTACTGGTGGCAAGCCATTCTGCTGCATGCATTCTCAGGGGTTTGGACTAGATTACCCTTGGGATCACTTTCAACTCTACAGTTCTTTGGTCATTGCTGCAGGAAGGATGAATTCATACAGCAAGAGATACAGCAAAATTTTACATGCCCACAACTGGGTTGAATGGTACTCTTATTCAGGAAAACAGTTATTGGATTGTACTGCTGTTTTTAGTGATGATTTTTTATATTTATATATATATATATATATATATATATATATATATATATATATATAATTTTATTATGTATATTGTGCTCTTACAAGTTGGAAGCTTGTGAGGGCTTCGCCCTAAAAGGCAACCTAAAAATATCTTAAATAAATAATAGAACAGTGACTCATGCGGAGGCACAAAAGGTGGGCTCTTCCTTCTAAGGTAGATCTTCCTCTTGGGGTAAATGATACATAATCACAGCGGACATGTGTTTTAAAACTGGATTCCTATAGGGAGGGGTGGAGATGTCGGACCAACATAAAGCATAGTATGCGAGGGAGAGGGGGCTGAATCCTCCTCACACCCATGTCTCCCCCAGGCACAAAAACAGCACTATTTCCCAAGCAACTTTTTCTTCACTGGAGCTCTAAGAAATGTAAATAGATGGAAAAGTTTGGTGGAGGAGACTTGGGAAGATTGATGCACCTTTCCGTCTCTCCAGGATTGTGTTTTCGATCTCCACCCTGCTTTATAGGAATTCACCCCTCCCACATTCTAATATATGAGTACAACAGGGGAGTGTGTCTCCCATTTATCACCAAAAAACCGTGAAGAGGAAAAACAAACTTATTTTTAAACACAGAGAGAGAGACCCCCCCCCCAACTATGGATAAGAAATGTGAGCTGAAATATGTTTCGTAGCAATTACTCCACAAGGAGAGATCCTGAAGATATATATGCCTGAGGGGCGTTCTCTTCCTAGGCCTGAGTGGGTGAATACAACCAGAGAAATTGACCCAGAGATTCTGTGGAGATATTTTAAGAAAAAAGGGGGTGTAGAAAGAAAAACAGCTCATATCTCTGGGTCTGACAAACGTTTGGAAAAGGAAAGCTGGCGGGGTGGGGCGGTGGTGGTGAAGACCCTGAAACATTTGATCCCACCTCTTTTTGTGGGGAGGGAGGAAAGCCTAATGGGTGCAGTGAAAGGGTTTGATTTCTCTGTTTCTGACTGG